AGGTTCAGAATAAATCCCATATGTAACAAATATATATGTTACAAAAACAAAATGTAAAGTTTATGTCTAAACATTTTAAATACATATAAAATTACTAAATATATACATATGTTAATATATATAAAGTTTTTATAGTTAGCTATTATAATTATTATGATATTCCCCTCAAACTTCCTAAAGATTCTCTCTTCATTCTAATTCTCTCAAAAAATATATACTATTGCCAATAGACTATAGTTTACATTGTAGTCTTTACATTTATAAACTTCTAAAGTTGAAAAGAAACTCTTAGAAGACTGAATTAACTCAAACATAATAATCTCGAACCTTTCCCTAAATAACCCACTACTATTTCTTCTATAGCATTTTACTCTACTTACCTTTATTTATTTCTTGAAGTACCTTAATGCCAACTTTTTTCATATCTACAGAGAATAGATGAATTATAGTAAGACCAAAAGATAAAAATGGTGGTTTCCCATTCCATTCTTTAGTGAGACACTGAATTAATTCAGGGTCGGGACATAACTTTATTAGTTCCATCAGGTCATCTGAAAGCAAAAATGAAAACTATGTCTCAACACCCTAGGAAAAAAACACACACACAAAGAAAACTGCCTATAACAAAAAGTACCAGAAGAAAAATTTATCAACGAACTGTAATGAAAGAAATGTGGTATAATAAAAAGGATGAGACTGTCAATCAGGAAACCTGAATTCTAATCAGAGTTCTGTTAGCCACCTAATCCTTTGGATCTCAGTTTTTGCATCTTAAAAGTTTTAGAATTAGTATCTCCAATTTCTAAGGTTCCATCTAATACTATGTTATGTTTGTCTGTACCTTATTTGGACCAACTTCTAGTGAGTACAGTATCTTTCTTTTTGTGCTTTGCACAGAAAAGGTGCCTTGGTAATTTTTTTCCTAAAAATATCAAGTATTTAGAAACAGAAATGAAGATTTTAAGAAGCCATTAGCTAGTTCAAGTAGTTAGAGTTTGAGTCATATGAAGTTGCCTACATTTGACCATTTTTTACTCCAAAAAAAAAGCAATTTCATATAGTTTAATCTACTAGTTAACTACTGAGGTAAGCTAAAGCTACAATCATGATTTATATTCTTAAAATTATAAACTTTGTATTAACTTCCTAAATGTTTCAAAGTAAAAATGTTCTTCTTGTGCCACAACACAGGTAATTTTCAGAATAATTTCTGAGAGCCTTTTAAGAACTACCATAAACATAATTTGCACTCTGAAAGGCAATATGAAGTAATCTAGTGTTTATTAAATGCATATTTACTGTACTGGGAACTTACATATATTAAATCATTGCATTTAATATTCAGTATAAGTGAGATATTATTATTCTTACATTACAAGTGAGAAAATAGGCTTAGAGAAACCTGTTTTCCAATTATATTCATGGTATAAAGTAGAACTGTTCATCTGACCCCCAGAATCTATGACCTTCTAATCTACAGTGTTGCTTTTCCAAAACAATAAATACGTGTGTGTGCGTTGCATGTGTGTATTTATATATACACATGCATGCACATACACATACCTAACAGAGCGAGAGAGTGGGGATGGTAAAAGAGGAAACAAGGAAAAGCATTATATAATTCTATACCAATGAAGTCAAATAATTTTTTCTAAATATCCCTAGGGAAGAAAAAGAAGTTTATGATTTGGGTCACTCAGGCCAGCCTCCACTAAGGTGAAGCTTTGTTATATAATGTCCCCAGCCTCTAACATTTCATAACTCACTCATCTCTATTTTATTCGATCAGTTATCAAATCCTCTTCTCCAAAAATTGATTAACCAATATCTACTCAATTATGTACAAGATTAATCAGAAAGGACACATATTCAAATCTCATGACCTTTTCCCTGCTTATGACACTTTGGAATCCATTTCCTTGTTCCTTAGTTTGACATATTATCAGTCATAATTTATCTCATGTATATTCTGTTTTAATAATATTATAAGGGCCTATATACCAACTATGGTATTTGTTTAACTCACAAATACTTAGAATAGCGGTTCTCAAAATATGGGAGCAAATATGGTAAGCCAGCTATCTTCTATTAAACCAGCCATTACAGAGATTTGCAAAAATATAAAACAATGCCACTTTCTTCATAAAATTGTTTGGTTTTTGGAAAGTTATCTTTTATAAAAATATTTCACTTATGATAACATGTAAAGAGTTTATTGTTATTTTAAATGAATAACTTACAATTTTTTGTTTTAATTTCTTTTTTTATTAGTTTCAAGTATACAGTACGATGGTTAGACATTTATATAGTTTATAAAACGATTCCCCTAACTCTTCTTTCTCTTCTTTTTTCCACCTAGCCAATATATCACTGCTGACTGCATTCCCTATGTTGTGCTCCCCATTCCCGTAACCATCTATCAACTACTAATTTATACTTCTTTAATTTCTAATAAGATAAATATCATTAGCTATAACCAACATATATAAAAGCTCTTTGGGATCTCGATGCTTTTTAAAAGTGTAAAGGAACCTGAAACCAGAAAGTTTGAGAGCCTCAGATCTAGAATAACCCAGTTTCCAGATAGGTTCATTTACGTGTTTTATGATAATGGAGAATATGAACAAACAAATCATTTCAGGCTTTATTCTAGAAATTATTAGAGGGAAAAAACAAAAAGAATCTTTACCTCTAAAACTGATGCTCTATTAGTCAGATTTACGCTTTTGGAGCAAAAGACTTTCTTAGAACTTTTCTGTTTCTGTTTTGTTTTGTTTTGAATGTTTTTCTTAAATTTGTAAATATAAAAGTGATAGTCTAAATCTGAGAGAGAACACTTTTTTCTGAAACCAGAAAGTATTAACAAACTGTATCTGTCCCAAGGCCAAAGATGATACCTTGGAAAGCTGTGTTTGTTTCTCATTAAAAAGTAAAATAAGCAAGTGTTTCTCTTTCAAGCTTAATTTTTCTCAGGTAATTATTATTTTCATCTTATGATGTTATGCTAAATAAATTCTGTGGATAAATATCAAGGTTCTAATTATATAAAAGTGTATTACTTTTTAATTATTACAATATATGTTTAATTATTTTAGAGTGTAATGCACTGCTAGAGGAATAGAATAATATGATAATGAATCAATCATGTCCCAAGAGTAATTAAAACCTAAATTCTATGTTTAAACCCTGACTAAAATAATTATTACTTATGGAAAAACAATCAATACAGAAACTGAATCTGTTTACTTAGATACTAATAATAAAATATATAATTCAGTCAATAAATATTGAGTAGTACCTACTATGCCAGATTCTGTTATGTGCAGGTAGGTAAATTACTCACTTCTCCATGCCTTAGCCTCTCTGTGGAAACATATTTTTCATGAAACAGGGATAATAATAAAAACTGCTTCATTGAGTTAACATAAGGATTAAGTGAGATAACGCATGTAAAAGCCAAACTATTAGCTATTATTACAGTAATAGTACCAGGCATGCTGTTATATGATGAATCAAAAAAATTAGTAACTTAAAAAAAGATTCTAAGTAAAAGTCAATTTATTGTTTGAAAATGATCAGATTCAACAGCCATAAAAGATCATTTTTCCTGGGGAAAAAAATGTGACGTAAAAGTGTGCTGTTTTGTTTCATTTTGCAGCTTCTTAGAACTGGGGTACACAGCCTGCAAATCGGGACTGACATAGGGCTGGGGTATGGGGAGATGTCAGGACTGCCTGTGCATCGACATTACCGCTCAACTAGATTCATAGTACGAGATCAGCTCATTCAACAAAGGTCACTCCAAAAGGTCCACGGTTCTCTCAGATCACTGCCCAGTTGCAACCTCGGTGTTTCAAAATTTTGAAATAAACTTTATTTCACTAATTCTTCATTTCTAATGCTTATATCATAGTTTGGAACATTATACATAACAAATAAGTTGTTTTTTAAAGTCCTTTAAGTAGCATGGTCCAGCATATCTGTAAAATTTATCTTTAAAATTGTATACTTTGGGACCATCCAGTTTGCTAAATGTTTGTGTATTGAGGAAATACATAATGTATTTGAATGAAGAGCATGAAAATCAAGCAGTTTCAGCTTAACCATTTTACTGGAATTACAAAAGAAATCTACTTATCAGTTTAAATAAAACAGACTTTATAATTAATGTAAAGCCAGAACATTGCCTACTATCATGGGTGATCTTATAATTAAAGTCCAGAATTTGAATGTATACAAGTACATTTTCACTTATACAAGTACATTTTCACTTACAGTAAGTAAACTCCTTGAATTGTTGTATGTATTCCATGGCCTTGTGAATTTGACCCTGTTTACACATGCAAAGAAGAGCCTTCTTGTGCAGGTTACATTCACTGTAGATAATCTGAGCTAAAGCCAGGCATTTGGCCTTGATATAAAGATTTTGCTCCCCATAATCACAAATCGCGTCCCCAGCCTCCTCAGAAAATGTGAGCCTAGAGCAAGTAGATCAATAAGGTGCACATTAGAGAGTTCTCGATGAGAAGATGAGAATGAAATATTTGAAAATTCAGGACAGTGGAACTGGATTGTCTATGGTCTGTAAGAATTCCAAGTTAACAGGCAATTGATATAGGAGAAATTAAACATAACAAAAATTTAACAACAAGAACAGAAATGATCAGCACGTATCCATTAGGGGAAGACATTTTAGTGAAACTGAGCTCAAGTTTTTTTAAAAAATCTACAAACAACATTAAAATTCTCCTGAAAAGACTGGCAGGATTTCAAATTATAAGAAAAACAAAAATTTTCTTATAGAGAGTCTCAATGGTTTTCAGCAGTTATCTAGATTCTAAATCCTGTAGAGTGTAAAAAGCTTATTAAATGTTAGTTAAAGGTAGTGAAAACAAATTTTGGCTCAAAATTAGTGATAGATCTTGCAAGCATGTGTACTAAAAGAGAAACAGAGAAAGCGACACCAGTGTTATTTTTTAAATTGTTACAGTATGTAAGAAGCAACAGGGAAAAAAAGGACATAACTGTGTCTATTAGGAGATGTTAAAGAAGTAGTTCTTTTGAGATGGCTCAATTGAATAGATTTCACTTGTCATCATATTTAAAACACCATCTTCAAACACAATTGCAGTGAACCATCTATACTATCACAGTAACCTAGAAACCATCAGCATAAGCCAAAAAACATTTGGATATGATTATCACTTCTAATTACTGGTTGTATGGAAATTGTGCTTTAGTTATATTTTTAATTAATAGCTACAGAATAATAGGAAACACATAATAGCAGAACCTGTATACAAATAACAAAATGCCAATAACAATAACATGAAACCCTGAAAATTCCTACAAAATGTCTCCTTACTGAAAATTCAGTAAATAAAATCCTTTGTGTTTGTTGAGGTGGGCAGCAGAGAGGGTAGATCCAAAATCAGAAAGCAGCTTCTGAGTATAAATTAATTATTTAGTAAGCAATTCCCTGACTTCTATATTTTGATACTAAAATACAGGTTTTGAGAGCTATAGCCACATTTTCCTGAGGCTGAACGAGTAATTATTTTGGTCTTTCTTGGGACTCTATTACTGAACCAACATGATAATACTGGTATTTTAGTATTTATTTCTTGTATTAATACTATTATTGTATTTTTTTAAGTGGTCACTGTCATGATGCTGTTCCACCTGAAAAAAGGCCAGAGTTGAGGACAGAGGTTGCTCTGCCTCGGCTTGTCATTTCCCAGAAGGATGATCAGGAAACTGGAGTATGATTAAAAAGAAAAATTAACCAAAAGAAGGAGGAGAGTCAAGTCCCAAAACAATGAGATTGGCCCTGAAGGAAAAAGGAGAAAGAAAAACAGTCTGGAAAATGAGCCTGGGAATCTCTCCCCTTTTTCCTCCCCTAATCACCTCCTCATACCCTCTGTGCTTTCCTAAAGCACCCTTCTTGGCTCTCCCCACCCCTAATTTCAACTCTAAGAAGACTCTTGCAGATCAGTGGTTAGCTGGAGATGGGAAAGAAGGTGGAATGAAGGGGTGAACGGAAGAAGAAAGTATTATAAAGAGATACTGTGATGACTTCATGAGTGTATACATGAAACAACTTGTCAAATTGTACACTTTAAATTTGTGTGGTTCATTATATCAATTATATCTCCATAATGTGATTAAAAAAAACTCATCAAATTGTATACTTTAAATATGTATAGGTTATTATATGTAAGTTATATCAATAATAAAAAACAAACTACAGCCCTAGGACCAGTTGTAAGGATAAGGGCTATAGTTCATCCCATTAACTCTCCTCTCATAAGTTTTCCCCAGAATTATGACGACAGAATCCTGGAGAAGTTGTGCTTGGAAAAAGTGAACTTAATGTGAGAAGCAAATAGATCTGTGTTGCGTAAATGAATGGCTAAGGTAGATGCTGTTTTGCCATCCTGCCCAAATCCTGCTTACTTTGCCAGTATTACTTCCTTAGTTGCTCTGGGTATTGGCTGTCAGTGGCTCACAGGTCTCTCCCTTATTGCCCATGGTTAGTGGGAGCCACCATACCCAAGAGTTATACACTCCCACCTCCTCCAGGCACCCTAGAGCCCTTGAGCAACCAATAGGTATAGAAATCTGGCCCCTATGCTCAAGCGAGAACAGCTCTGTGGTGTGGTTTATGCTCCAGAACCATTCTTCTATAAATAAGGCCAAGAACAGAACTTGCCTGAGGTCACACCCTTTCTTGGCTCTTTCCCCTCCCCTATTCTGCTTCATTTATTCCCTCATAGGTTTTTCTTCAGAAAGTCTCCCTCTATCAATCATGTGCATCCAAATTCCTGTCTCAGGCTTTGGTTCCAGGGAACCCAACCTAAGAGAGCCCTGGTATAAACATGCCAGTCTATGCTGAGACCCAACTCCAAAGCTATCTCCTGTCTGTCCTTTCTGGTTTGTATACTCTCCTAAATGCTACCTTGGTCTGTGTTTCTCCTGCTTATAAGTTTTCTCCTAGGTTTAACCTTTACATGTACCCACAGACTGCCTAGAACCAAGTTTCTGCCTTATCCCTCTGAGCAGCATGATACTGATCAATCCTTTTCTATCCTTATTGATCAACTTCTCTCTGCCATTAGGTGATCATGAATCACCTTGTGAACTGCCATGAGTCAATTCTTGACCAATTGTAACTAGGCCCATTACTCCGTGAATGCTTAGTAAATACTTTCTGACAGATTAATTGCGATAGGGACCTGAAATAAATGCTCATATAATGTATTGATAAGAAAACTATTAAATTTTGAAAACAACTTCATTAACCAAATATCAAAATTAAGTTAAAAGTTTAATTTTGCTTACCTTTCCTGGGTGACCCAATTGATAACTAAATCTAAACGTTTTTCAGATAATCCGCATTTGATTCCTTCCAGGGTTAGTATTGCATCAATAGGACGTCTATGAGCATGACTTGTACTAAAGATTGCCTCAAAAAATAAGAGTAAGGGAAAAGGCTTTCCTCTAATTTTTCCAACAGCTACAAAGAGAAGAAAAAATTTTAAATCAAATACTTAAAATAATAGTTTGCTTCATATCATTTTCATCTCTTCACATTTTCTAAAAAATTCTAATCTAAAATTACACATTTGTAATTTTTAACTAATGCTTATTATGGATTAAATTTTATATTTTGGATAATGACTAGATATTACAAGTTATGTGAAAACTAAGGCAGAAACAGGGGTGATGTGTCTACAAGCCAAGGAATACCAAAAATTGCTGACAGTGACCTAGAAGACAGGAGAGAAGTATTGAATGAACCCCTCCTTAGAGCCTCCAGAAGAAACTTTAAAAAGCTGAAAGAATATACCATCAGCAGACCAGCACACTTGCACTATAAAAAATGTTAAAGGTAGTGTTTCAAGCAGAAAGATAATACCAGATAGAAATATAAATCTACACAAAGCAAAATGAAGACCAGAAATGATATATGCTATCGACATAAGAATTTAGTTACACTGTTTTTATACAATACATCAAGTGGTATACTATCACTTGAGGGTAGAACGTGATAACTTAAAGATATAATCTATAAACATTAAAGCAACAACCAAAATAAATCAACAAAGAGTTATAGCTCAAAAATCAACAAAGAAGAAAAATGAAATCATGAAACATTCAACTAATAATCCAAAAGAAGGCAGAAAAAGAGAAAAAGGTATCAGCTGAGGAAAATTGAACAAATATAACTCAACCACATCAACAATCACATTAAATGTAAATGATCTAAACACCCCAATTAAAAGGCAAAAACTGTCAGATGGTTTAAAAAAGTAGGATCCAAATATAAGTAATCTAGAAGACTCTAACTTTAAACAAAGACACAGATTAAAAGTATTTCCAAATATACTATACTAATCAAAAGAAAGGTGGACTTACATTTCCAATCTCAAAACTTACTAGAAAGCTACAGTCATCAAGATAGTATGATACTGGCATAGAGTGGACATCTAGAGCAACAGAATAGAATTAAGAGTTCAGAAATAAATCCTGGTTAATTGATTTCTGACAAAAGGGCCAAAAAATTCAATGGGTAAAGAAAACTCTTCTCAACGAGTGATGGTAGGAAAACTGGATACCCACATGCAAAAGAATGAATATGGACCCTTCCACCTCACACCATACACAAAAATAAACGCAAAGTGGATCATAGACCTAAATATGTAAAACTCTCAGGAGAAAACACAGGATCTTGAGTTAGGCTAAGATTTCTTAGATATAACAGCAAAAGTGTGGCCATAAAAGAAAAGACTGGTAAACTGAATGTCATCAAAATTAAAAATTTTGTACCACAAAAAACAACATCAAGAAAGTGAAAGGAAATATTTGCCCATCATCTATCTGATAAGTCATGTTTATCTGGAATATAGAAAGAACTCTTGCAACTCATTAATAAAAACACAAATAATATGATTTTTAAATGGGCAAAGAATAGACATTTCTCCAAAGAAGATATACAAATGACCAATAGACAAGGTACTCAAACTTGTTAGTCATTAGGGACATGCAAATCAAAACCACAACGAGATACCACTTCACATAGATTAACAAGTGTTGGTAAAAATATGGAAAAATTGGAACCTATCTATATTGCCAGTAGAAATGGAAAGTAGTACAAACAGCTTAGAAGTTTCTCAAAGTATTAACATACAGTTACCATATAACCCCACAATTCCATTCCCAAGTATCTAACCAAGAGGAATAAAAACATATATCCACACAAAAACTTGTGCACAAATATTTGTAGCTACATTATCCATAATAGCTAAAAAGTGTAAACGGTCCAAATGACCATCAACTGATGAATGGACAAACGTTTTTGCCTTTTAATTGGGGTGTTTAGATCATGTGCTTGCACTATATATAAAAATTAACTTAAACTGGATCACACACCTAAATGGAAACCTAAAACTATAAAATCCTTAGGAAAAAAATTAGGAGAAAAATCTCCGCAGATTAGGCACAGATTTCTTAGGTACAATACTAACATCACAATCCATAAAAAGAAAACATTCTTATATTGGACTTCAACAAAATTTAAAACTTCTACCTTTAGAAAGACACTGTTAAGAGAATGAAAAGACAAGCCACAGACCAGGAGAAAATATTTGCAAATTATTTATCTGATAAGGGACCTGTACTCACACAATGGACTACTACTCATAAATAAAAAGAATGAACTATTGGTAAATACAACAATATGGATGAATTTCAAAATAATTATGCTGAGTGCAAGAAGTTAGTCAAAAAATAATACCTGCTATATAATTCAATTTATATAAAATTCTAGACAATGCAAAGCAGACTAGTTGCCTAGGGATTGGGAAGAAGCTGTGGGAGGGAGAAAGGTGGGGTGAGGATTAAAGGGAGAGAGGAACCATTGAGTAGAATGAGGGAACTTTTAGGTGATACACAAGTCAAAACTTATCAAATTGTGTACTTTAAATATGTATGATTCGTACATATGTATGTATGTTAACTTATGACAACAAAGCTGATTTTAAAAGGAAGTAGAACAAATTTGACAAAATACTAACATTAAGTCTTGATAATGAGTACATGGCTATTATATGTTTCTCCTACTTTTCTGTATAATTGAAATATTTCATAATTTAATTTAGAAAACCTAATTAAACCCTTTAATGTCACAGCTAAAGAAAATGAGTGAATGGTAGAGAAAGGTCTGGAGCCTAGATCTTTAGTCTCCCAGTTCAATGCTCTTTCCATTCTATCAAGCAGAAAAGTATGATTTGCATACATATACAAGATTCAGAGAGAAATGCTTACCCTTAAATTTATTCACTGTCCCAATGTTCTGAAGAATTCTTCTAGGACTATTTGCTGCAAAACAAGCTGCCTTTTCATATTCACCGAGTGAGATTAATTCATTGAACCTGTAGCCATTGCATTTCATTATACATTATAAATAGAACACAAAAAACTGATTAGACATTTCTGATACAGACTAAACATAATGGCATAGTAATATAGAAAAGCAATTCTAATAAACTATAACTAGATTCATTTTGTAAAATGTTCTTTCACTTCTTTCC